TCAGCCTCCTGATGAGTCGGTGAAACTCCGACGAAACAGTTTGTCACAGCCCCTCGTTTGTTGTCCTCTTCTCTCTCTCTGCCTACGGTTTACCGGGCAGTTCTGTTTGTGACGATATATATATATGTTATATATATATATGTTCCTCAGCCTCACCTGGTTTTGCAGACAAGTTTCCACAGCCAGCAGAGAAGTTTCCACGATGAACGGACATGTTTTCACAATCAACAGCCAAAATTTTGTCAAGTTTTCACAGGCAACAGCGAGAGGAGCTAACCAAGGGGCGGGAATGGATGCATCATGGATGCACAAACCTACACAAACCTTTCGCCACAGTGGTTCGGGGGTGGTCTGACCATGGATGCACACACCTACCAAATCTTGCTGCTTCTAAGTGACAGCCACAGTGGGGCAGGGGCAGTCATACCAACCCACTGGCCCGGACTAGAAAAGATGTCTAAAATTACCTGGCAAAGCAGGAGTTACAGCGCCTTGCAGCCCTTGCTCCACTGGTCTCCACATGCACAAAAAGACAAAAGATATGGCGGTGTTTCTTTCCATGTTCTAGCTAAGGATTCATTCTCATTTTACACATTCGGAGAGTAGCGGAGAGAGGCCCATAAGAGACTTGAAAAGCAAATGATAATTGTTGCAAAGTGTTCAATTTTAATTTTTCACTTACTGGTTCGCAAAAATGTTCTCGTTGAATTTTTAACTAAAAAACACTCCACTCCTTGGTGGCAATGAAAAAAAAAAAGAACTTAGTTCTGCAAACATGAAGACATTGAAGAGCAATTGGAGTCCATCAATCCCGATCCAGAAAGGTGCTGCTTAGGTGCACATGTGAGACAAACAAATGGCCATACAATGACGGCATGCCTCCAAGAAAAGAACTGTCCTTCTCTAGGCCAGGAGACAGAGAAGCCATGTCCAAAAGGTTGCAGTTCATGGCGGGGTGCAAGGCATGAAAGGATGTAGTTCCATGCTTTGCTAATCGGGCTTTGCTAATCCAAATGGAAGAATCTCTCTCTGTTTACTAAGTACTACAGGCAGCAAAGGAACCATCTTCCCTTCCATGCTCTCTATCTGTTTTACTAAGCAGTACGGGCAGCAAAGAAACCATCTCCCCTTCCATGCTCTCTATCAGTTTCACTCAGAGTAGCACAGGCAGCAAAGAAAACTATCTTTAGTACAAGGCAGCAAAGAAAACTGTCTTTAGTACACGGCAGCAAAGAAAACTGTCTTTAGTACAGGCAGCAAAGAAAACTATCTTTAGTACTATCTTTAGGACAGGCAGCAAGAAAACTATCTTTAGTACAGGCAGCAAAGAGTAGAAAACTGGCAGCAAAGAAAACTACGACAGATAGTTTTATTTGCTAACTGTACTGAAGAGAGAGTTTTCTTTGCTAGTTTTCTCTGCTCTACGAAAGATATTTGCTAGTTTTCTCTGCTCTACGAAAGATAATTTTAGTTTTCTTTGCTGTGTGTACTGAAGATAGTTTTCTTTGCTGCGTGTACTGAAGATAGTGTTCTTTGCTGTACCTGTACTGAAGATAGTGTTCTTTGCTGTACCTGTACTGAAGATAGTTTTCTTTGCTGCCTGTACTGACTGAAGATAGTTTTCTTCGCTGACTGTACTGACTGAAGATAGTTTTCTTCGCTGGCT